GCACCAGCTGTAGGGGTGGAGGAGACAACATGGATGACATCGTCTGCGAATTGGGTGATGATGGTGTCGGTATGTTCAGGTTGGGGGAGGTCGTTGACGTATATGTTGAAGAGGACCTGGCTGCGGCAGGAGCCTTGGGGTACTCCTGCTGTTGGCGTGAAGGGGGTTGCTTCTGCTCCATGGAAGGTGGGGATGATTTTTCTTCCTGTTAAGAAGTTGTAGATGAGCCTGAGAAAGGTCCAGTTGTGATCAGGGAGGTCTACGAGTTTGTAAATGAGACCGTCGTGCCAAAGGCTGTCGAAGGCCTTGTGAACGTCCCTGGTGGCGATGAGGGCCAGGTTCCCTTGCTTCTTCAGGCTGGCCACAGCATCATAGATGATGTTTATGGCATGCTGAGTGCTGCGGTGGGACCTGAAGCCGAACTGCCTTTCAGAGAATAGGTGGTTGAACTCCATGTAATAGTTGAGTCTGTTGGAGATTATTCTTTCAAAGACTTTGCCTGTGACTTCGAATAGGGAGATGGGTCTGTAGTTCTCGGGATTGCGGTTGTCCTTGTTTGGTTTGGCGATGAAGATCATCTTAGCTGTCCTGAAAGCCACTGGGAAGTGACCGGATGCCAAGATGGCGTTGTAGATATTCACCAGAGACATCTTGCAGTTACGGGGGAGGTACTTTAGCCAAAGCCGAGTAGTTGTGGAAAATTGCATTTACTGAATGTATCTGTGGAAAATACTGTATATATTTTCCAGAAATTCAGTATTTATATGTAAATAGATGCCCATACTGTATTAATAATATTTATGTCATAGAAAACGGAAAGTCTGCATCTGCACAGATGAGACTCGCCATCTTGGTTTTGAATTGGATACAACGTTAATATAATGGGAAGAATTTTTCGTGCTCTAGAGGTTAAAATTGGATTGACACCTCTCAAATAGGAGGCGAAATTGTTGGATGTGCATTCCTGCATAACTTGAGATATCAGACGACTGGACAAGACAGCTCCAGGAACCTCAGATAAGCTCTCTAGATTTGTGTATAATTCTGGCCAGTGTTTTCATAAATTTAGTTAGTGAGGTTTTTCTGAGTATGATACAACTTAATATCCAGTCAAATTGGTGAGTGATACTAAGAAATATTTTCCTTCTGTTATGTATATGTGAATTTATATATAATCATTTTTTAATATACAGTCCACAAATTTATATATTTACCAGTATTCCTGGTGTATGTATATTTCATTTAATTAATAGGTCCAGAGCAGCTTGTGGTTATGACAGTGGTAGGTATCGAAGGGGGACATTTTTTGCGACCTAGGTGTCCCAAATTCCTACTTGTCTAACTGATAAATAATAATTATTTATGTTCATTTACTGTTATGTACATAATTATACATACAGATAAATGCAATTTTCCACAGTATCATTATTTACATAACAGTAAATGAACAAAGATAATTATTATTTATCAGTTAGACAAGTAGGGATTTGGGACACCTAGGTCACAAAAAATGTCCCCCTTCGATACCTACCACTGTCATATCCACAAGTTGCTCTGGACCTATTAATTACAAATGAAAAATACATCACCAGGAATACTGGTAAATATATAAATTTTGTGGACTGTATATTAAAATAATAAATGGTTATATATACACAATTACATAACAGAAGGAAAATATATCTTAATATCACTCATCACTTTGACTGGAGATTAAGTTGTATCATACTCAGAAAATCCCCCTGTCTACATTTATGATAATAATACTGGCCAGAACTATAAACATAATATAGACATGACTTAGCTGGGGTTCCTGGAGCTGTGTTGTCCAGTCGCCTGATATCTCAAGTTATGCAGGAATGCACATCCAACAATTTCGTCTCCTATTTGAGAGGTGTCAGCCTAATTTTAACCTCTAGAGCACGAAAGTTCCTTCCCATTACACTAACGTTGCATCCAATTAAAAAAAAAACAAAATGGCGACTGTCCCTTCTCCCCAGGCTCAGTTTCCCATTTTCTATGACATAAATGTTATTAAATACAGCATGGCCATCTATATACATATAAATACTGAATTTCTGGAAAATATATACAGTATTTTCCACAGTAGTAGTGAAATCCACGAGTCTCTTGATTTTTCTTGGGTTTGTCATGGATTACCAATATACCCCTGGCTGTCTTCAAGAAGGCACTGGACAGGCACCTAATATCAGTACCTGACCAGCCTGGCTGTGGTTCGTACGTCGGGTTGCGTGCGTCCAGCAGCCTGGTTGATCAGGCCCTGAACCACCATGATGTCGTGTGGGGGTTCGAAAACTAACTGGCGTCTGTCGTAAGTTAATCACGTTCAATTGAAATTCCCTTCGTATTATTGTCTTCACACTACTAGCTAACTACCCAGACTTCCTTCTTGAAGGCGTGAGTTACGCTCCTCATGAGTTTTATCATGCATTTGAAGGTCAGTTTGAGAAGAAATCCATAATAAGTGTCTAGCTTCGGACACGAGCATGTCCTACTTGACACTCATAGAGCAAAGAGTTTTATTTTATTCACGGAAAGCGCTAAACCCGTAGGAGAGTCATTCAGGGTTGGCCCAAGGAAGGGGAGGTTAAGTTCTGTTCCTCCGATGTTATAACAGCTTCCTCACCGGCATCAAGGCGCCATCTGCCTTGAGGTACATGGCCCTAACAGTTAATCATTTGCAGTACAAGATGTTACATTCCTATGAAAATAAAACTTTCAATTTCAGTCCAATTAAAATATGTTTCAAGAGTGTAAAACTACTCAAGTAATAAGCCACATTCGCTTCGTTTGCAGTTGATTTTTCATCGTGTTTTCAATGGGTTTTGAGCAAAAAAAAAAAAAAAAAAAAAAAAGGAGGTCCACAGTGATTTTAAGAGGTCCTCAAGGAACTAGTAGAGTGAAAAATATTGAGAAACAGTGAATAACAGTCTTCTTATAATAAGAGCATGAATTGAAGAGTTTGGGTAAATAAGGCTCAGTACCTAGAGTTTACCTGTGAGTTGTGATGGCCCTCTGAACCAACAACAACAATTGAAACAACTATAACAACAACCACAACAGCAACAACAACAATTGAAACAACAACTGTAATAACAGCCACAACATGTAAAGTAAAAGGACACAAGTGCAACTAATGTGACATTTTTATTGTGGCAACGTTTCGCTCTTCAGGAGCTTCGTCAAGCCGTTACAAACAGTACATGGACACAGAGGGTATATATAGGCTCAGAGTGAGGTGCAGTACTAGTGGTAGTAGTAGTGACATAAGTTGTAGTAGTAGTAGTAATACAATATGGTAAAACAATTAACTTGCACATGGAGAGCGAAATGTTGCCACAATAAAAATATCACATTAGTTGCACTTGTGTCCTTTTACTTTACATATTGTCGGTAATTCTACCAACATTATTACAACAACCACAACAGCAACATCCACAACAAACAACGTCTTGAAGAATAAAACGAGCTGGTGTTGGTGGAGTGCAGATGTCTCTTGCTATCTTCTGCTTAGAGCAGCGGTGTCGAATTTTCTGTTTCTTCCCCGGCTATGATTGTCTTCCTCACAGTGCTTCTGACCATACAGTAGCTCCTATGACTCCGAAAGTCTGATATTGTTGACTCAGGTGGGAGTGTGTTGGTGTCCAGCTCTGTTGGGGTGTAGCCAAAAGGGACCGGTCCACCTGACAATTGGGAATTTATTGTTTTTCTTTCCGATGGAAACCTTGTTTCACTTATAATTATCGCTCATATTTGGGTTAATTTAACTGTGCTGCCTAATGACTAGTTTATTGTGCATCCATGCTTATCCTGTTGGGTTTGTTAAGGCCACTGACACCTCTCACTCTCTCTCTTATGCCTTATCGAGCCTTCTTTCCCGATAATAATACTAGTAATCTTCATCTCTACGAGTACATGTACAGTATATACAGACGGAGAAGTGATATTGTTCAAGACTGGGCCATGAAAGAAAAGTGAAAGGGAGTCCTATTATAAATAGAAACAAAAACTAGAAGTTACCAAGTTAAATGGGGGACGTCCCTCTCCAAGCCACAGCAGAGAGGGACGCCCTCACCCTCACCTGAGTTTAGTAACTGGTTTTCCACCAAAACCGTTAAAGGAATATCCGCACAACGGAAAACTGGAACTGGCTAAAATTGAGTCAATGAAAGGTGCCCCTCCTGTAATGTGCCCGGCGGGCAAAGTAAGGTGAGGACAAGTGTCTCAGAGAGAACGGGCGAGATTTATCACTAATGCTCAGGTGAACGCGAGACATTCATACTCGACGAAGGCTGGCAAAAAAATCACTCATCTTGTTGGTAACTCTATAATTTGTTCATGATTGTAGCCAAAGTATAAACGTAAGTAACCATTCTACAGAATTCATTACCTTTGTAACTTGTGAGCTCATTACCTTTGTACCTAGTTCAGCTATCAAAACTTTGGGGGCCCAGTCCCTGGACCCATTACGTACCTCTGTAATCTGTAAATACCTTTGTAACTTGTCATGATTGTGACCAGACTTACCTGGAGTTCATTACCTTTGTAAATTGTGAGTTCATTACCTTTGTAAATTGTGAGTTCATTACCTTTGTAAATTGTGAGTTCATTACCTCTGTAACTTGCTCAGCTATCAAAACTTTGGAGTCCAGTCCCTGGACCAATTATGTACCTCTGTAATCTTTTGACTACCGCCCACAGGATGGGTATGGGGTGCATAATAAACATATTAAACTAACTAAACTTGTTGGTAACAAGCTTTCTGGACTCCCGGGAGTCAGGGCTCAATAAAGCATAAGCTTATGTGATCCTTAACAATCCCCAACAACAACAACAACAACATCATCATTATCAGAAGTTATTTTTATTATTTTTATCAAGCTTACAGAGACTACATTGTTGTTTGAGATCTTTAGGTAAAGTTATATAGTTTCCTTATAATTTTTTTATGCGTAAATTCTACGGAGAATACATTTGTGACCATTTCATTGGATGAGTTAAGAGCATCTCTAAGCTCACTGCACAGTTAACGAATAAGAAAATTTAAGTAGAAAAGTCAGTATAACCCATAGCCCCTCAAGGGAGGTACGTTGATGCCTCTAAGGGATTCTTGATCCAAGGAACTGGGTTTATCCTGCCTCCTGGATTCAACCTGATTGTCTTCTATTCTCATATCATAATGTTTGGCTTTAGTGGCTTGTTCTAGGTTAGTACGCACTTATGTTATTGCATAAGAACATTGTAAAAATCTTAACTTGATTATTATTTACTCCAATGTATTTAATGCTTCCCTAATTATAATTAATAATAATATATAATCCATATAGATCTAGTAGTTGTTTTGAATATGAGTATATCTACAATAATTTATACAAGAAAGTTATAGGAATCTGGCTACATTTTAAGACTACAACTTGAGTATTAGTGTACACTTTACGGTACGGTACTGTATGTATCTTCTTTCAGCTACTGGTATGACTATCCCATGAACCTCAGGTATGCATTAAAATGTATGGTTATCCTGGTGGTCACCACAGTCTTAGGGCCATATGACTCAAAGTACTACCTGAAGCTGCATCTGTGTAATCATACCATTGCCCACTATTTAGATTTCACATAAGCTAAAGTACTATCCCAATGTGCTGTATGAGTAACCAAGTACACTTGTTGGCTTGTTCATATTTCTACCATAAATGCCACCACTCCTGTGAGTGCAGAATGAAAAATAATGCAAAATTAGCAGCCTAGTATTCTGAAGCTCCTCCAGTCTTTGATGCTGCTGGTATGGAATTAGCATATTCGGTTAAGTTGTAAATGCAATGGGATGTCTCATTGATGTTTCTTGTAGGCCACATTTATCTGCTGGCTTTCTCTATAGTTTAAATCCCTTCTGGAATCTACTGTTTTCGGCTCTTCCTCTTGCATAGAGGAACCGTCTTATGTTCCATTTGCCATTCTTGAACTTTTAGCAGCATTGTCAAAGTGTAAACCTACAGCAGCTGGGCCATGGGATACGGGTATCTGTTTTCATGCTTCATCATTTACTCTTCAGCATTAAACATAATTATCGCTTCAGTAATATTTGGTCTACAGGAGTGCTCAGTATACAGTGGATGTTTGCTATGGTCCTTCCTTTTTTAAAACCACACAATATCCAGAGTTGTAATCCCTCGCATTATACACCCAAAGCTCTTATTAGTTTAATTTGTAAATTAATGGAATATATGCTTAACAGGAGAGCAGTATTTGGAGACAGCTGCATATCCCCACATCATTTTGGATATAGGAGTGGTCGTTCTACTGTTGATTCTCAACATGGGCTCAATACATATGTTCCAGAAGTCTGTAGTTGGTTTATGGTGGCAGTCATTTTTTGTGACAGAAAAAAGGCTTATGATGTGATATGGCATTATCACATCTTATTTCAAGTACATTTTTTTTGGCTAATGAGGCAAGCTCCAACCTTTCCTCAAGGCTTTCATGACAGATCAACACTTTAGTATCTGAATCAATAACAGCTTCTCTGTAGACTTTGTTCAAATTGAAGGCATTCTTAGCACAACCCTATTTCTATTAGCTAATAATGGTCTAGCTTGATACTAACTTGAGGAATTTGGTCCTCTTTATTTGTTAATTATTTCTGCCATTGTTTGCAGTTGGGCACTCTCATTTTGCTTGCTGTCCTTTCAGAAAGTTCAAACTTCAGTACAGACACTGTGACTTTTTGATTGAAACTGACTTATGCCACTTTGACTTTCATTGTTAGCTCATAAGTTCATGTTTCACACTACTGTACTTCCTTTTCAGCCTTGTAGCACTTTATGACCTATACTGGTTTGGCACATTTTGTGAAACTAATAATAATAATAATTACCTACGCTGTAATGATTTTCTTAATGTTATTTTATTTCTGTAATATTTCCCTTCCAGTTTAGTAGGAATGGTTTGAGACTAGGCTGTGGAGGCAATTATCCCTGAAACTATTATCATGTTTATAAAGATACATACTTAAATACTAGGTGATATTGCTTAATTTTGTTTTAATTGATGCATCTGTTTTCAGCATAGCTACCTGGTACATTATATAATATGGTATATCAGTTCCAGACTGTTTTTGATTGTATTCAATACATCAAGGGCTTTCATCCATATATTTTTCAAATTCTTTCATTGTTGATAGTCTGCATACACATTACTCAGCTTGGACCCTTTTTTTTAGGGTTTTAAAGAAAAAAAAAATTTAATTAATGAAAAGAGGCATCAGTCTGTTATAGAACACTGTTTGATGCTGCCAGAAAGTAAAATAAGTAAAATGGCTTCATTTCTTGTAAGATAATGGGGCACTTAGAATTGCAGTTTAATTTTGAATCTTAAGTAAAAGTTATCTGCTGTATCACCTAAATTACTGAGAATGGTTGAAGTCCCTTGATTTGTATTCCTGGAATGCAGGCAAGAAAGATACATGATAATATACACTAATCCTAAAAGGATTTGCATGCAGAAATCACTTCCTATGAAAGCAGGAGATGCAACATCTCCCCAATGAAAAGCAGGGGTGCATGAGTACACTAAGAGACAACATAATAAGTGTCAGAGGCCCAAGACTGTTCAGCTGCCTCCCAGCATACATTAGGGGGATTACTAATAGCCCTTTGGCTGTCTTCAAGAAGGCACTGGACAGGCAGTTAAAGTCAGTACATAATCAGTCGGGCAGTGGTTCATACATTAGTTTATGTGCAGCCAGTAGTAACAGCCTGGTTGCTCAGGCCCTGATCCACCACGAGGTCTGGTCACAGACCAGGCCACAGGGGCTTTGTTCCCTGAAACCCTCTCCAGGTATACTCCAGGTGTACTGCATTCATATAAAAAAAATTCTCCCATAATCATGAAGTTTAATTATATATTGATATTATTTTGTTACACTAATATTTAAATATATTTTTCACTACTGCATTTGATAATTAATACCAGGTGAAGAATTATATATAAGGTTTTTTTCACTTTATTTTGGTCTTTGGAAGTGGAGTCTAAAGTGCAGAAATAATGCTTAACATGTAAAAGTACACAAGTGCAACTAATGTGACATTTTATTTCACTCTCCAGGAGCTTTGTCAATGTTTCCTGGAGAGCGAAACGTTGCCACAACAAAATGTCACATTAGTTGCACTTGTGTCCTTTTACTTTACATATTGTCAGTAATTCTACTAACATTATTACAATGCTTAACATGTTCCATGAAGCAATGTCAGAGAAAAGAAGGATGTTTTCCAGTTGGCTTTGTCTTCACAGATCTTCATGCCTTGCCAGATACTAGACATTATACTAAAGTATCTTTGCATTTGTTCCTAAATAACATTTGTATATGAAGTCATATGATTTACTTTAAATAAAGATAATATCCAAGCCCTAACATACTAAATCTCTTAGTTTTTCAGGTAATATGAAAATATTGTGAAGAATGCCACCATTTAAACAAGTTGTGAGTCTGCAGACATTTACGCTCAGAAAAGTGGCTTATCTGATCAGGCGACTCTGTTGTGACCACAGTCTTACAACTGATGACTTGATACCAGTAGTAAACCATCTACATATCTTCCTTCCTCCACAGATTCAAGCTTCAGTTTGTCATACACTTCTTCATGAGTCACATAAGGTATGTTATGAGTGTAGGTGTGTTGAGTCATATAAAGTTCCTTATATACTTAAGTATAGGTCGAGGTTCTAAGGCCATTTCCTCTATAAATAAGACAAATAAGTAACACTGGAGTACTGTATTTTATTAGTAAATATTTTCTAATACACGTAACATTTGGAACAGTCACATGCTGGAGGCATCAGCTCAGTGATGTTTCAGTCAGTGCATCTGACCACAGTGTTCTGTCTGGGTAGCAACAAGTTGGCTAATACATATGTTTGACATGCTAAAATTACCATATTTCTGAACAACATTATGGAAAACAGTGATCAATAAAGATTCAAGGCAGCATCACATATACTAAGGTCTTGATTAAAAGTTGTCTGGCCTTTCCCCACTTTATTAGTTAGTCATATGAGCCTCAGTAAATTACACATGTTGATCATGTTTCTGCTGCATGGGTACTTGTGCTCTCTGAGGAATCTTGGGAATACATATCAGATCAAAATTGGGTATGCAGCTGCTGTATGGTGCCCATACCTGAAAAATATGATCAGACAGAAAAAAGTCCAAAGAAGTTCTACAAAATGGATCTCAGAGCTAGAAAATGAGTTATGATTCATGAAATCATAATGACACGATTGCAAACAAACCATACCACAGGCGGGGTTAGAATCCGCGACGGTCTGGAGTTTTGAGACTCTCTGATCGCAGGTTCTAACCCCGCCTGTAGTATGGTTTATGAGTTATGATGTAAGGATGAAAACTCCTTTAAGGGGTTTTGCTTTGATGAGCTTCCCCATGAATATAACAAACATGGTAGTTTTTGGTGGGCCATGGTAGTGCACCTGCTGAGCAGACTATAGAGTTTGTGGCATTCATCACTAGAAGCATCTTGTATTTATTTGACTCCCCATTATATTTAAAGACCAAATAGTATTCTGTGACTGGCTCCTATAAAGTAAGTGTAGAATGACTTAAACTTTATTTGTCCATTTTGAAACATAACAGTTTGTGATATTGCTAGTTATTGTATGCTTAAGGCTACCTGATTGGCAAACTGATGTGGTAAAAAGGACAGTATATTATATGATTGAGATAAGAATCCCCTTAAGGAATAAATAAGCATGAGAAGTTTGAGATAAAAATAAGCATCAAAGAGCAGGTGAATTTTATTCAAAATCAGGGATTCAAATCATGGTTAATTTCTTTTGAAATTAGATAACATAATTACCAAGATGATCTTTGGCATCATGCCAAAGATCATCTTGGGTTTTGGCAGTACCAGAATTGTTCTAAGAATTCCTTACTAAAATATTCTCGGTTGTATATTTATTATACAGTGGTCCCTCAATTATCATCCATAATCCATTCCACAAAGTGGGACTATTATCGAAATAGACGACTTTCGAATCAATTTCCCCCATAAGAAATAATGTAAATACAATTAATCCGTTCCTGACACCCAGAAGTATTAAAACAAAATTTTTTTTTACATGAAATATAGATGTAGTACATAAACAATACAATGGCACATGATGAATGAAACATTAACAGCATAACACTTACCTTTATTGGTGATTCTTCTTAGTGTATGGAAGACTGGAGGAGGAGAGACATTGAATTACTGTTTGGAAGGGGAATCCCCTTCCATCAACACCTCAGGTACCAAGTGCTTTTCTGGGGTTACTTCTCTTCTCTGTTTCTTAATGCCACTAGGACCAGCTTGAGAGTCACTGGAGTCCTGTCTCCCCAAAACACTGTCCAGAGAGCTCTGTTTCTGGCGTCTCTTTAAAACTTCCTTAAAATGGGCCAAATCTCTGTCACTGTACAAGTTGCCGATATGGCTTGCAACATCCTTCTCAGGGTGATGTTTCTCCATAAATCTTTCCATCCTACCCCACATTTCAAAAATCTCCTTAATTTCTGAAGAAAGCACCTTCTTCCATCTCTCTTCCTCCTCCCCTGCAGCAAGATTCTGAGCTGCGATCTGTTGCTCTTCCTGCTGAAACTCTTGCTCCTTTCATATTGTCCAATGATGTTTTTCTTAAATTCAATCGTATTTCTCACCTTTACCAAAGGTTTGGCACTAGGAGCTTTCTTTGGAGCCATGGTAGCTTATTTAGCACTTGCAAGCACTAAAATGAATGGAATACAGTGGACCCTCGACTAACGCTATTAATCCGTTCCTGAGAGCTCATCGTTAGTCAAAATAATCGTTAGTCAAGTTAATTTTCCCCATAAGAAATAATGGAAATCAAATTAATCCGTGCAAGGCACCCAAAAGTATTGAAAAAAAAAATTTAACACATGAAATATTAATTTTAATACTCACAAACTGAAGAAGACATGCACAGTTACATGACACTTACCTTTATTGAAGATCTGGTGATGATTGATGGGATGGGAAGAGGGGAGTGTGTTGATGGTCTTAGTGTTTAGAAGGGGAATCCCCTTCCATAGTGTTTAGAAGGGGAATCCCCTTCCATAGTGTTTAGAAGGGGAATCCCCTTCCATAGTGTTTAGAAGGGGAATCCCCTTCCATTAGGACTTGAGGTGGCAAGTCCTTTTTCGGGGTTACTTCCCTTCTTCTTTTAATGCCACTAGGACCAGCTTGAGAGTCACTGGACCTCTGTCGCACAACATATCTGCCCATAAAGGCCTGTACCTCCCGTTCCTTTATGACATTCCTAAAGTGTTTCACAACATTGTCAGTGTCACCATTAAACACTTGTTCAGGTTTCAGTCCTTCACTGTCTATGTACTCCTTGAATTCCTGCACATATTTTTCAGCTGCTTTTTGGTCCAAACTGGCAGCCTCACCATGCCTTATCACACTATGTATGCCACTACGATTCTTAAATCTCTCAAACCAACCTTTGCTGGCCTTAAATTCACTCACATCACCACTAGTTGCTGGCATTTTTCTAATTAAATCGTCATGCAACTTCCTAGCCTTTTCACATGTGATCGCTTGAGAGATGCTATCTCCTGCTATCTGTTTTTCGTTTATCCATACCAATAACAGTCTCTCAACATCTTCTATCACTTGCGATCTCAGTTCCGAAAACATAGTTGCACCTTTGGCAAGAACAGCTTCCTTGATTGCCGTTTTCTTGGCCACAATAGTAGCGATGGGTGATTGGGGTTTTGTGTACAGCCTGGCCAGCTTGGAGACATGCACTCCACTTTCATACTTAGCAATGATCTCTTTCTTCATATCCATAGTAATTCTCACCCTTTTTGCTGTAGGGTTGGCACTAGAAGCTTTCTTGGGGCCCATGGTGACTTATTTTGCAGGTGCAATCACTAAAAAGGCTGTGATAATATGAAATGTTCCGATTGTATGCTTGGAAGCGACCGCGATGGCTGGCTGGCTTGTAAACACTGGCCAGAAGTGGACGCGTCTCAGAGGGAAGGAATAGTGTTGGTCGAGTTTTTTAGCGCTAATCGAGGCAAAATTTTTGCGATAAAATGTATCGCTAGTCAGATTTATCGTTAATCGATGCCATCGCTGGTCGAGGGTCCACTGTATTATGAAATATTTTGTATGAACACGCGAGGGGACCGTCGCTCACTGGTAAACAATGGTACACTGGCTGGGAACGGCTCAGAGCCATGAGTACGCGTCCAGGATGAAAGACGATTAGCGAGTTAACGGACCATTTGCGAGCCAATGTTTAGACAAAATAACGGGACTATTTCCGAAATGGACAACTTTCAGGCCAGACGATTATTGAGGGACCACTGTAATACAGTACAGTACTATACTATGTACATAATACAATTTTTTCCTTTGCAGATTGTGTTCCCTGAACTACTCAATCAGAATTACCTGTTCATTTGTACACAGCTGCATGCTGAGTACATATGGATCAATGATAGTCGAAGTGTTATGCCAATGTTGGAGGACTTGGATGGGCGGAGTGTTAGAACACTCAAGATGACTGGCTCTAATGGCCAGTTGGACTTTGATTTGGAGTCCAACACCTATGATTTTCAGCAAATTATGAAACTTGAACCACTTTATAGGTTTCTTAGAACATTAACAAATCTAACAACATTGAAATGTTCTCAGCTGTGTAATAACTTTATGCTTCAACTTTTATCAAAAACTTGTCCTCACTTAGAAGAAGTTAGCATTGAAATGTGCACTGATGTAGATGATGAAGGAATATTCCACTTAGGTGGTCATTTTCCATCTCCAGATACATATTTTCAAATAAGGAGAGGCATTCAAATACCCTCTAAGTCTGTTTGCACAAAACTCAGAAAGATCAATTTAGAGTATACACTAGCGTGCACAGCCAGTGCAGTGATGTTACTTCATTTGTGCCCAAATATTGAAGAACTTATGGTTACACCTGATGTTAATATAGGAGATGTGTTTACAACATTACATGGTATTAACCCAGACAAATATGAAGAAGTTACTAGTAAATACTCACTTAAAATTTTACATACATACATGGAACTTGATGAAAATGTTTTAGCATTGATTGTCAAGACATGTCCTTACCTACATGATGTAACATTAAAGTGTAATGGAGTGGAGAGAAAAGATAGAAATTTTCTAGCAAATTTACTTGGTCTAAATCTTAAAACCCTCAATGTTATGAACTGCAGCATGTCTGCTCTAGTATGGTATTTGGAGAAGCGAGGAAGCCATCTGTCATCCTTAACTATTCAACACCTTACCATGGCACCTTTAAGTGTGACATTCACTAGAACTCACCTTCAGCATGTAATACAAACCTGTCCAAATTTGCAGAGCTTTACATTAAAGCTTAACAACAATCCAATTCAACCTGATGTGCCTTATTCAGTATTTGGTTCCCGTTTATTGTATTTTACGACCCTTTCTCATTTGACTCTGGAAGGCACAACAATCACATCAGATGATCTTTCAGTATTAGTAAGTAGGTGTGAATCTTTGCGTGAATTACATATTCTTTTTCATAATTTAGACATGTTAGAAGATCATGTACTGTATGATCTCTTGGCTTCTGGCGGTTTACACAACTTATGGACACTATTCCTTCATCGCCCAATGTTGACACTAGCTGGTCTAAGAAGATTACTTTGTGAATGTCCTCAGTTACATACTGTTGGACCTCTTTCTTCTTGGGCTATAAGTAAGAAGGATCGAGAAGCACTGCGTAAAGAAATTAGGAATAAGAATTGGGACTTAAATGTTGAGAGTCCTGAGATGATGCACATGTTTATACTTTGAGATATAACACTGCACTGCTGTTTAAAGACAAGAACATTATCACCATAACGTAATTGAAATACAGTGCTTGTAGTACAGTATTATCATGATAGCTTCTCCCTTGTTAATGTGTATTCATTTATTTTATTAATTCAGCAACAGTATCTTTGTAGGCCAATCAGTTTTTATGTACTTGTCTCACTTCATAGTTGTAGCCAAAAAAAATATTCAACTCAGTTGCTTGCACTTTGTTTAAGCTTTCTTATAGTTTCATAGCACTCCATATTGTTACATATTTATACAGCAATCAAAAATTTTATATTTATGTTCATTTTTGTATCCAGGTCATTCCATAACCAAATGGACCAATTTTAAAGATGAATTCTGCCTGACCATCTCCAAATTTGTTGAAACGTTATGTATAGTTTCATATAGGTTTCAGATGAAATTATATGGAGTTTTAAATTCAGGTATACTATAGCTTGGACAGCAGGCCCCTCAATGTGAGGGGGAGGTAACCAAAACTGTCATTGATGCAATCACAACAGCAGGTGTTTTATATAAATTAAGTATTCATAAGTTATATAAATTTGGAGAAATATCAGTTAGATAAGAATAATGCTGTCTAGTGGACATGACTTGCTCACCAATGGTAGGAGGTTGGGCACTGCTTGTGGCCCAGCAGCTGGAAAAAGGAAGGCCTCACAAGTGAGGTTTGGTGTTCGAGAAAATCATCAGATGGAACTATCCAAAATTTGTGCATTACTTATTTTTTTAAATTTATGGAGCACAATATTAATTCTTTTTTTCCCTTGCTATAATTCACCAAAAACCTGCAATTAGAAGAACCTTATAATGACACTTCATCTTTTACAAGCTTCAGGAGATGCCAAAAACGAAATGATCCCATGCATAGGAAGCTGCTCTCACACTTTTTTCAAACTGGGCAGAGATGACTCATACAGATACCATATAGAAAGATGCCCCCGGCACCATACATGAGGACTGCGAAATGACTTTAACAGTTCCCTGTATATTAATGAACTGTCCTATCAGAGAGCATGTAGAATTCACTTTCAACATCTTCAACACACTCACAGTTCTCCTCGCTGAAAGTCTTACCTTTCACAGAGACTCCCTTTGTGACTTAAATTTTTTTTTTTTAACAAATTAACCTTGTGAAACAAATATGATTTTAATTTTTACACCATCACTAACCCTCAGCTCCACTAGCACCTTTTCTTGTCTCTTCAACCAACTCTGCCATGTGACTCATACAGGTTTGGCATTTGTTTTTAAATATAATAATCATAGTAATAATTATAATTGTAATAGTAATAATAATTATTTGATGAATTTTCTAAATACAGTATTTATCTTGATAAATTTACAACAATATGAATATAAATTATGTAAAGAAAACTATGCCATGCGACATGGCATTATGATACTGATTCATTGTCAGTATTTGGGCTCTGATTATTTATTGGTCTTAAAATTTGAGGACATTGTTGCATCAAGTAATGCCAGCAATGCATATTTTTTGAAAATTTTATCTTATTAATTTGTTGTAAATTTTTATCATTACCCTAACCAAATGAAATTGAACTAACTTTTAGAGAAAAACATATGTAAATGGGTCTTGCTATGTCAAGTACCTGTGCCAGAGATGAAGCCTCATTTTGATATGATGCCATGTTGAGTACCATAGTTTGTGGGTCATTTCATCAGGAATTGTGAACAGCATTTCTTCAGATTTAGACCCCTCATGGGGTGTATATGGGCCAACATCACAGTTAATTAACTAAATTGTTAGCCCATATGCACTTTAGGTAGCAGAAATTTGTTATTCATATGAGATGCAGTGGTCCATACAGTATGGCATTGGCATGTGGAGTCGTGACATTCCTCACAACTCTGGTAGTAGCAGATTTACTTAATTGTATAATGCACTCTCATAGCCCAAAACCTGGGATTCATCGAAAAAAACGACGTTAGCCAATATGCAACTCAAGATAGTGGATTTAAAGTGGTAGAAGTGCGGTTTGCTATTTTCTCGTGATGCTGTGACCAGATGATATGGTACCTGACATGGTGTCATGCCAGACAGGTCAAAATCCTAGAGGAGGTGTGTAGGGCTGAAATATTGCTTGTGATTGGTACAAGTCAGGTTTAGTTATGTATTGTATGCATCTAAAATATTACATATTAATATGTTGCCCCAGGATGTTGGTTTCTTGACCTATGTATTTCCTTTAGTATGTCCATATGCAGTGCTGCATTTCTGTTTTCAATTGCTCATTTTTAAACAATGGAAGGCCCATATCATATTTACATTTTTTGAGTTGTATGAAGCCACATTTTCAAATTTAATGGGAGCTTATACTTCCTTTATAACATGTGCTGTAAGAATGTTTTGTATGTGATACAATGCAAATACTGTACTGTCAATGCTAAATATGCATAAACTATCCATACAGTAGTGAACATGTCTTTACTAAATTATGCAGCATAACATGTGTGCAGTTATAAACGAATTCTTTATAAAAATTATACGTATATATAATATATATATATTAATTAATCAGCATAATAATTATACTAATTTATCTTCAAACAAATACAAAAGATATGTTGGAGATTGAAGAAATTACAGGAAACTTTTATAATTTTTTCTAAGTAAAAAATACAAAGATTGTTGTATGACACACCTGTGCCCAATTTTGAGGGCTCTGTCCTCCCAGCCAGGCTTCCTTGTTGATTGCTTGATTAGTCAGGCTGTTGCTGTTAGTGGCCCAGAAGTATATAACCTGGTTGATTTTGACAGAGGTAGTAGTGTAGTTTCTTCATGAAAACTTCTACTTCTGCTTGGACAGTATTTATATCTTCTGGTATAACATTCATGGAAAGTTCAATGTGCTGTATATATAGACCAAATTTATTATATAAAAGTTTATTTGCCTGTTGCATGAGTGGGGGTATAATTACATGGTTTATTTATATTTAAAAGTAAAATTACTTTGTAAATAGTGATGTAAATAAAATTCCCTGTTATCTCTAGTGTATATTTTACCCTGAATTTTAAATTAATAAATTGTACACTGCTATATATAATTGCAGCTGGTTACTGGTTAATAGCAGAGGCACATTAGGAAGGGTCGTTTTACAAACGTCTCTTGTCTTCTAGGCTGAAAATGTTTAAACATTGTTTGTTAAATATAACAAACAATCAAAAGGCCTTTTGGAATAAATATGTACGTATTTTGATGGCTTGTTATTTTATGCAGAGAAGCATACTGTCACTCTGCCTTGGTGGGAAACGGCCAACGTGTTAAAAAAAAAAAAAGCATACTGTTCTCTCTTTTTTATCCTTCATGTATTCATGATGACATAGTTTTAGTGTTTTCTTGTGAATATAATACTAATACTCTGCCCACAAATATTATTTTGATTCAACATGCTAGCCAGAATTACATTATCATGCTCTTCAAAGGGGATGCCTTGATAATGGTTAGGGGCTCTTGATCCCACAAATTGAAGCTACCCTCCTTGAATCAAACCTGATATTTCCCTTTTCTCAGACACTGACTTACTGATTTAGCACCTCCTGTGAATGTAATGTATGACCCATATGGGTTTAGAGCTCAAGGGAGGTTCCTTGATGCTGGTGAAGGGCTCTTGATCTAAGGAATGAGACTTAATCTCCCCTTCCTTGGATCAACCCTGTATGCCTCTCATTCCCAGGCAATCTCTGAGTTTAGTACATTCTCCTGATTATAATGGATTCCCCAATGATTATATAATAATTCTTTAACAAACAAAGTGAGCTGCACTCTGTGATGCATAAGGGTTTAGCGCTTGCTTAATATAATTTAAACAAGGGAAGAAATTGAATATTTGGGATTCATTTATATTACTGTAACATTCTCTTAAAGATAATAATAATAATGTTTCACTTAATTATAGAAGGTCCATAGTGATGTACATGACAGGCAAATACAGAACAGAATTAGCTAAGACTACTTACTTACCACAATTAGCTGATCCATATAAGAAATCTTTGTATCAATGTGTATTTTATTGAAAAAAAATATTATTATTATACAAGACTACATAATTGTTACTCATGGGTCTAGTACAAGGTATTGACAGCAAGTTAAAAATATTAAGATACAAATCGCAAAATTATTTCATTAGAAATTAAAAATTATAATTAAGACATTAGTAAAGATTGAATGATAGTTTATGAAATTACGATAGAAGATGAACTTACAATACTTCTCAAGGAAGCCCCTCAAGGAAGGTTCCTTGATGTTGGTGAGGGGCTCTTGATTTAGGGAATTGGATCTGTGCCCCAGTTCCCCGAATTAAGCCTGAATGCCTTCCACAGCCCCCCCCCTTAGGCGCTGTATAATCCTCCGGGTTTAGCGCTTCCCCCTTGATTATAATAATCCTCAAGGAAGGCAGGGACCTTGATGCTGGTGAGGGGCTCTTAATTCAAGGAATTAGACTTTTCCTCCATTTCCTTGGAATGAAACCGATTGTTAACCATTCCCTCCCCACAGGGCGCCACATGAACCCGACGGGTTTAGCGGTTCCCCGAGATTATAAGAGAGGAGCTGAGGGAGGGTGGATTCGCCTCCTTGACTCCGCCCTCAACACTGCCATACATGTAAGGATGGATTTTATTACTGTATATCCAGTTTCTGGAAATGCCATGACGCCGCTGGAGGGCTCTTGGTCTGGGAGTTGGAGCTATCCTCCACTTCGATCAAACCTGATTGCCTCCCATTCCCAAGAGCAGTACAACCCCAGTGGGTTTAGCAATTCCTATTAAACTTAATAGTAAAAATAAATGAATCCAAATTATTTTTTTTTCATTGTTCACGATAATACGGTCGCAGTTTTCATAATAGTTTATGAGAGTCCTAGATGAAAACAAGGTTAAAAGAAAGGTGATAAGTGAGGAAGAGTTAGCATAAGTCGTGAAGAAAGTGACCTCCGTCAACTGTAACTTTTTAAGGTGAGGATGTTGAAGTAACCAATAAGAACACAGTTTGTGGCACTCGTAGCTTGTTATTGGATGTGATGATGCCAGGTGGCAGTGTTGTGGTGAGAGACAGATTTGGTGACTTCAACGCCACTAAGAGTGTTAGTGAGACACAAGTCACAATCTCTGCAACAACACACACGCTGCTCTCTCTCTCTCACACACACACACTTGTTCAACAGTGCTGTGGTTGCAGCTCAATGTGATAATGGTGAGCTGAGAGCAGATAGTGAGAGGTATTCATTGCTGGTGATGAGTGAAAGTGATTCTTGTTATTCAGGTGGT